CATGCTTTTGGAAGCACATGCATAATACCCACAATTTCATATTAATTTCTGGTTCATTTTTTTGCATGAATTACAAATTTTAAAATTCATGTTACACTAATATGTGGATGGAAAAAATTATTTTATTTAAATTTTGGCGTGGAACATAAAATTAAAGTAGCGAAGTTGTATTCGGGTATCGAAAAAGTATACATTTTAAGCTAACTTTTTAGCTAAAATCTATATTTTATGTTCAAAAGTTTAGAATTACGAACAAATTCATAATCAAAATCACTATTGTTAGTAATCGAAAAATAACCAAGACGTGATTTTTGCGTAAATATCTCTAAACTATACAAATTGCTATCATCCATCGCACTAGTAATGTTTCTTTTATGCGGAAGTGTCCCGTTTTTTAATTTGTATGGAACTGTAGTGTGTCGAAATACTATCAGAGCGCTATCAAGCAAGTTTCTGAATGTAAACAAAAAACACCCTATCGAGTGACCGAAGCTTCGGAGCAGTGCTTTACTTCTAATGCCGATTTGGCCATTCCTTCCTTTCTTACCTCCATGAAACTTACGCAATCTGAAATCAGCGCATACGCTGGATTTGTCGCACTGTTAAATGGGCACGTTTGCTAGATTTGGCGCTTTTGCGTGTACGTATTCGCTACAATTTTATTACGACCCTCGAAACCAAATAGTACCGAAAAATGATTCAGACCTTTGGGACTAAAAAAAAGCAAAATTTTATCTCACTGTGTGACTTATTAACAAGTGCAGCTTACACTTAATGAGAATATAATATTATTTCACCTTCATACATAATGCTTTTTTTTTTTTTTTTCCTGTGCATAAACACACTTGTTATCTGCATGTGCAATAAGGTATTAATCATAGCTTTACTTTTCCATTTTTGTTGATTTTTCTGTCACATGCTTAATTTTTGAAAGCCAGTGACAGTTCATTCAGGGACAGTTTTCGTATTAACTGCAGTAAAAATCAACGACAATAAATACCACACATTATTTTTAACACAATGTTAAATGTTTCATTAATCCTAAATGGTGCAATTTATTCTTAAAAAAACTACTGATTTTTTAAATACTTCTGTCTACAATTAAATAAAAATACAATATAAAAGTGAAAATAATTTTGATAAATTACACATGCCCGATTAATGTGATAACAACTAATACAATTTAAGTAAATGCAGCTTTACAAATTTAATATCATTATTCTCATTCTTAGAAACAATAAATTTCTTCTCTTTGAAAAGTTCCATTTAAATTGACCAATACAAATTCTTGTTGTGAAATTCAGGAAGAATAGTGACATAAACTGATGATAAACCAGATTTATTCAAAAATAAGATATCCTTTTTTACCCTATACTTTTGTTCTGAAATTTGGTAGGACCAGAATATAAATTGAGTATTCTGATAAATGAAATTGCAGAAAGGAATGAAAAACTAATTATCATACTATTTAGAAGAATTATCCAGTTTAAATACTAAATAAAAAGGCTAATCTTTGGAATATGGTAAAAGGTAGTTTGGCAACATTTTGGTAGGCGATAAGGTCCTACCTAGGACTTGGGAATACTGTCGAAGTACCAGTTCCGTTCGCATTATTTGGGGGGAAATAGAGATCCGGAGCCTTCAGTGACATTATGGATGAATACAGTTCTTAATCGGAAAAGGGTGGGGAACTATGGAAAAAAAAATCTGAAATTTGTATTTAGCTCATTATGTGTTGTGAAACAGCGTGGTTAATTTTGGATTCCATGCCCTATCTAAAGTGATTCGAAGGCTATTTAGTGGGCTGAAGGGGTAGTAATACTTTTTTTAAGGTGTGCGAGATAGAAGAAAGATTGCTATAAGTTTTATTAAGCAGTATATTCCACCTGGGACAATAATATGATGCTGGAAGTCATTGTCTTTTGGCGGATGAAGTTTTCACATCTGGTGGAACCATAAGTATGATTTTAAAGATCCTGAAAAGGCCAATACGATGTTTTATTTAGCGGAGGAAATAGAAAGTTATCTGCACGTATCAAGATTCTGAAGAAGTAGGGAGTTAGTATTTTAATTATGAGGATATATTTTATGCTGTTCTAAATGTAGGAGTATAAATACTGGTATATTGGAAAATTGTTATAGGAATGTTAGTTTACAGTAATCGGTTTAAGCTATTTTATTAATTAATGTATGGTGCTTATTGAATTTAGTGTGTTTTTTTTTAATTTATTTTAATTAAATGATACAATTTACGGATTAAAGATTCACAAAATTTTCATGCATTTTCGTGAATTTTTCACTTATGAGAAAAAGCAGTGGACTGGATATAGTGAGAGTGTGCGCAATGCATTTGGTGCAATCCGGTGCTTTTTTAAAGTAAAAATAAGTAACGTGGAATGGTTTAGTTAATTTAATTTAAATGATAGTATTTGGAAGTTATGTTTGGCATTTGGGATTGTTCAGTTGAAGTAAAGTGCATGGAAAGAATTTAAATATTGACACTAAGTATTTGAACATTTATGTTTGCGGTATAAATTGTTGGTGACGTTTACATAATAGAGATATTTAGAGGTAAAAGTTTTTGCATATTTATTATTTATACGTGGAAATGTCACTGGAAAGGGTATATACTTTTTCGCGATCATGTAATCCTATGTGCTTTTACCGAGTTTTAAAGATTCACAAAATTTCCTGCATTTTCGTGCAAATTTTTTGATTATGAGAAAATAGCAGTGTAGATGGATAAAGTAAGAGTGTGTGCAATGCCATTTTTGTGCAATTCTGGAATTTTTTTTAAGTAAAAATAAGTCGACGTTACAGGTTATGTGTATGCATATGAAAAATGCGGCAAGGAGTTGCGATTCGCATTTTTCCAAATTTCAGTAATATTTGTCATGAGTTTTGTTCCATAAATTTCTAGCATAAGTGAATTCGGATAGCAGATGTTAGAAAAAGTGGTTCAGTAATAAAAAAAAGAAACATGTCTTTACTCGTGAAGACAATGGCGGCGAAAAAAAACAAAAAAATAGAGGGATGCTGTAGCAGAGTTGGTCGCCAAATTTTCGCCAAAAAATCGCAAGTTACCATAATCCAAAGGATTAACCAATAAAATTAAATACTTAAATGCTATCTGTATATAATGTATCAAGATGAAGTATATATTAATGGTAATAAACTGCCTAATACTTTCACAAAAGCTGCAAAGAAATAAAATAATAATTTATTTACTAATGGATTATTGGGTATATTATCTCCTTTGAGAAAGGTAGTAGACTTTTAGTTGATTGAGTAGTTTAAACTAATTTTAGTTGAATTACTTGGTTTTAGAACTTTTTCATTTTTTAAAAGTTTCCATTTGAATTTTTTCAGATTCATATTTGATGTTTCATTTTAAAAAATTTCAAGATACATTTTTAACTGCTTATAAGTTACTTCATTCAACTATAATTCTACTACCTTTCAAAGGAAATATATAATATTAATAAATAATTATTATATATATATTATATATATTATATATCTATATATATATATATATATATATGATTAATGAATGAAAATTCTTGAAATCAATAAATTTCCTAATTGCACAAGCCACAATGTAGATAATAATTGATTTACTAAAGAAATATTGATTCTATTATCTCCTAATATAAATTTAGTAGACAGCATCTAAATGAAGTAATGCAGAAGTATGAAATTTAATCCTGAAAATATTTTTAAAGAAACTTGAATTTTAAATCACGAAAAATAGAAATTAAAACTTTTAATATGAAAATTAATAAACCAAGTAAAAATCAATATTTCTTTAGATTGGATATGATTGCATAATCCAATATATATATATATATATGGTGCCACAAATTGCATAATTACTGTTAACTATAATAACCACTTTTAATTAAAATACCTAGTTTAATGATTTCAGTTTAAGCCTGTACCAATTATATTGGTTATTGGTAGGACTGAAAAGAAATAAGTAACACTGTGTAACTACTATTTTCTAATTTCTCTTTCAGTACAATAATAATATATTACATTTAATTAAGTAGCTTACATTTCATTCTAATCAGAAACAAATGAATTCTAAATAGAGCTAACCTTTCATCAAATATTTACCTCTTAAATTTTATCCTTAAATGTAAGGAAGTTTTATTTTTGAGGAAACAGTATTTTAACAATGTTATTTAAAATGAAATATGTTGTATAAGTTCTTTTTAAAAATTAATACAATGCTGTTTATTTAAAAAGTAAATAATTAAGCGAATTTTGCAAAATATATGGAATGCTTTATTTCCATCTTTATCTCTTGTTCTTGCATTTTAAAATTGCCATTACAGGAACTTTAAATTCTTTTTTTTGGGGGGGGGTGAGGGCTATAAAAAAATACTTATTAGTATTTGTGTCATTATTCTTCTGGATCAGTACTATATGAAAATATCACAAAAATAAATAGGTTAAATCTGAATATAAGAGGTTTTTGAGCTTGCAATTTGTAACACTCATATATAAACATACTAAATACATAAAACTCTTGAGAACTGCAATAACTTTTTAATATAAATAGTTTTCAATGTTCGTTCATAAAAAGAATACTGATATTATGAGTCGTACAGTATACTTCCCTTTAAATTAAGGTAATTTAAGAAATGACAAAATTTGAAAATCAGCAGAAGTTTAGAATTATCTTTACTATTTAGCCAGAAACTTCCCAACCGTTAATAACAAAAAAAAAAAAAAAACCTACAGACCATTAGTAGTTTTTTTTATCTTAAATGCACAAAAAATTAGGAATCCTAATAATTTGGCCCGTTGTGTTATTATGCTCGAAATCTACGGTCATTCGTATCGTATAAGTATTCTCCCACATTAAAAATGCCTCGTGATTGTATATTCTTCATTCTAAGGCCAATGAAATTAGCAGCGAGCACTAGAACAAAAAATATACATATCATTTTAAATTATTAGGTATGATAGTCAACACAACAATAATTACGTACCTTGCAATTCATTATAACAGAATTGCTTGAAAAATTACGCAGCATTCAAACATTCAAGAACTGAGAATTTGTTTTTTACCGGCTGCAATGATGCACAATCTCCCGCGGAGAGGATGCAGTTGTTCTACGTGATTGGTAGTTGGTAGTCATGTGATCAGTCACTAACCATTCAAGAATAATAATAAAAATAATCTCATTTTTCATCTAGATATTTTCGTACAACTTTACTTACACTGTTTTCGTGTGATAAATACTGCTTCAAAATAGCTTAGTTTTTTTTTTTTTTTTTTTTTTTCCAGCTTCTGAATTAGCATATAAAATCGAAATATAAGTGAAATCTGAGTCAGGTAGATGCATCCTGAGCATGAAAAATTTATACATATACATTTTTTAATACAGTGTACTGAGAATTTTAAACAATTAATCACAGAATACATAAACGAATGTGTAAAGGAATTAAATACAGGTACTTATTTCACTATGTGATAATTTTACTTTGATTAGGAATGCGAAAATTAAAAAGTAAATTTAAATTCGCAATGAATTTTTATTTAACAAGAAACGTTTGCTTTATAATGTCAAAAATGCTTGCCTCATCTTTCTATAAATTAGAACTAATATTTGTTACTTTAGACTCCTGAACACAGAATTATAGCACAAGTTTTACACAGATACACACACACAGATCGTATTTTATTCTCGAGTGTCAAGGTGTAGAAACATCTTTTTACTCGACTTCTGATAAAGATCGGGAGGGGGGAGAAAGAGAAGGTTGAAAGGAGTGTGAGAGGCGGATGAAAGAGAGTGAGGTCCGCACTAGCGGTGGCGAAAAAATGGGGGTGTCAAGTTCAGTGTCGTTATAAGATGTAGCCGCGGGTGGTAAAACCGCAGAGTCAGTTTTGCGTGAATGAGTCAATAAGGTTGTGATTCTTAGTGGAAAGGATGTCACCAGGGTAACGATTTTTTCTTGGGACGCGGGGAGTGTCTGAGAGTGCTAATAAGGCATACTGTGTTGTACTGAATAAAAGAAGTTGACAGCTAATCGTTAATATACTCTTGAATAAGTTCGATTCGAAGGTCTTGTGAATATATGTTGGTAATATAAGGAGCATTGATAATTTCTCGTAAATTTATTTGTAGAATTGTAATGTTAATAGGGTTTTAGCTGATGTCCCAGATCGGTGCTGCTAAAGAAGAGCTGGGCGCAGTATGGCGATATAGAATTAATTTTTTGTAGTAGATAAGTTGCTTTTTCTACCAAGAAGAGGTCGCGTAGTAGCTGTGGTGATTTAAATTTTTGTACTACGGACCGGAAATGGGTTCTGAAGGTAAGTTTTTGGTCAGGGGACTCCAAGGTATTTGGTTTCATTAATCCAGTCTATTCTTCGTCAAATATTTCAGGGGGTGGAGGAGTTTTCATGTTTCCTTACGGAATATTGCCTTAGTTTTACAGGGTTAATTTTAATCCTCCAAATGTTAAGCCATTTTTTCCAGTTTTATGAGATAGCTTTGGATTGGTTTCTTACGGCGATAACTGTGCAGGCTTTAGTAGACTGGCGGTGTCATCGGCAAAGTGCAAGATGAACAGAAGGGTCTTTAGGGATGTCTTGTGTATAAATTTAAAAAGTCGGCGAAGTGCCGACCCCGTGGGACACTAGCATGATTACTCTGGTAGGTAAGCGGGTACCCGATTTGATTCTGAATGTTCTGTTGCTGAGAAACGAGGCTATTAAGCGAATAAAATGATCTAAAAAATTGAGAGTGATTAGTTTGTAAATAAGCTTCGATGCCATACCCGTCACAGCTTTCGCGATATCGAGAAATAGCACCGGTCGTAAGCTTGCATTT